CCGGGGCGTCTTGAGCCGTCTTATTCGGGCATCTTCGGCCCTGTCAGGCTGCTCTGGTTGCTTTTTGGTAGCCTCCGGAGCTGTTTGAACAGCGGGGGGGCCGCCCAGGAGGCCCCGGAAGGGGTCAAAATGTCGTGGGCCAAAGGGGGCGGCCCAGGAGGCCCCGGAAGGAGTCAAAATGTGGGTCAAAAGGGGGGGTGGAAATCCAGGAGTGTGTCTGGGCCTGGGCCCCCAGCCAGGTGCCCCCCAGTACTCCAGCATATATATATATATATATATATATATATATATATATATAGATGTATCTATATGTTTATATACATATATGTATGTAAATCTGTATGTAAGCAAGTAGTTATGTATGTATACATGTGTATGTGTATATGTATGCATGCATGCCTGCATGCATACATGCCTGCATGCATGCATGCATGCATGTATGTATGTGTATATGTATACGCACATATCTGGGTGTACTAGAACCACGCGCGCGCTGCGCGCGAGCTCAGGTTCTAGCCAACTCCGAAGGCGCCACTTTTAAGCCAAAGATGGCTCCGAGAGGGCGGAGGAGACGCCGATGAGCGGAGACAGCGAGCCCCGGACGGGGCCCCGGCGTATAATTACCCCGAGGTGGGCCTCCGGGGCCTCGCTTTGGGGGGCCCCTGGGCTCCGTGGACGGGCGCGGAGCCGCCCGAACGGGCCATGGGACGCGTCAGAGGGGTCCCGGGCCATCGCGGAAGCTCTTGGACGCATGCTGGCGGTTCCGTCTTGGAGGTGTCGTGAGGCCGTTCTGGAACCCTCTTCGGCTTCTTTTCGGGGGGCCGCCCTGGCGCTCTCTTGCTCGGGACGCGGCGCTCGCTGGACACGCTCCCGGATCATATGACCAAGGCCTTCAGACAGTGCAAGGGCCAAATCAACAGAGGGGCCCTGCCCGACGCAGCATATCGGCTCGGATTTCGCTCGCCTGGACTCGGACTCTCTGGCCACATCTGCGGCTTCCTCTCAGGATCGTTGTCTTCCCTCTCCTCACGCCGTCGTCCTGGGACTCCTTTCTGCCCCCGCGCTGCTATGCGTCGCTTCCGCAGTCGCAGTCGCAGCAAAGAGTCCAGGTGAGAGGAGCACGCAAGCATACACACAGCTCAAATCCGACCCGAAGGGAGAGAGGGAGAGAGAGCGAGAGAGAAATAACGACTTACCCTATATTCAGGAGGCGCGGCCCTACGCGGTGGCTTGCGCGGGCCGCGGGCGCGGCACGCTGCGCTGGAAGCGCGCGCGCTTACGCGAGGCCTCGTGCGAACACCTTACGCGCCAATGTCGGCGCAACCGTACTCCAGATTTCGTAGTACAGGGGAGGGGGTCACAACCCTCTCAGACGAGAAGTCTTAGACCCCCCACCGACCATCCACGAAAGAGCGGCCCTTTGCCCAGACCCCCCCCGAACCCTCAAGACAGCTCAAATCAGACCCCCACCCCAAATGTGACCCCCACCACTTTATTGTGGAGAATCCGGAGTGCCCGACGTTTGCGCCGCCCACGTCTCTTCCACACGGGAGCCTCGGCAGTCCCGACCACTCTGGCAGGTCGGGCCCGTCCCCCCGAGTGGAGTGGATCTCTGCCTCCCAGGGGCCGACGACGAAGAACGAGCAAGCGCCTCGTTTGCGCAAGGCTCTGGATGTCCCCAAACATCCGAGGGTGTGATTGCTCCATGCGCGGCCCCAAAGAGGCCCCGACCCCGGAAGGTCCTCTTCCGTCCCCGAGCTCCTCTTTCCCGCTATACGCAAGAGTGACCCTAGGCAAGAGTGACCCTTGGCGCGCGGCTCAACTAGGGGGTCACATACGAACCCTACCCCTACCCCTCACGAGTTCTGAGGGGGAGGGTGGGGGTCACTTCGTTCGGGAGCTGCCGAGCGGAGTGAACCCCACCCTCCCCCTCAGAAATCGTGGGGGGTATAGGGGTAAGGTTCGCATGTGGCCCCCTATCAACGGGGGACGGGGGGGGTCCATACCTGGGCGCGCAAGCTGCTGCCACCGCTTCGCGCTCAGCGATCGAGGGACCCTATTGGGTCAGCGCTATAGGTCACTCTGGCGAAAGGTCACTCTTACGCCCAGCCGACTTTTCATAGCCTCGAGGACGGGACGCGAAGGCCAGCATCGAGGAGAAATGCAGGGACTGAAGCAGCCGCTGACATTCTCGGCCCCCGCAGTTGAAGGAACAACAAAACGTACGCGGGCTTCTTGGGTGGGCGCTGGACCAGCTGCCCCGATATGAAACGCTCAACACGTAGACTGAAAACGTAGGTATGACGCGGTACGTTCGCCAAAACGTGGGCCAATACGCTGAGCCAACACGCAACGTATTGACACGAACGTGTTTAAGCACAGTACGTCTCGAGTTTCAAAACGGGCGTATCGAGGCTGCTCCCTGCCGCGCGGAGCGCCAGGGGCGGCGACGGAGGCGCCGCCAGGGGGGCCTAGCGACGATCCAAGAACTCCGCGCGGAGCTCAGAGAAATTGTGCTTATGCAATGTTTTAGTTTTCAAGGGGAGCCGCTGATTTGCCTGCCCCCTCGCAGCCCCCAGACATCCGGCGCTCCAATTGTTTTCGATGCTTCGGCCATGGAGGTTTGGACCACTTCCCCAGGGCTGGCTTCCTGAATCGTGACTTTGGACGCTCCCGGGGCCCGGCGAGGGCCCCCAAACCGTAAACGGCCAAAAACCGGCCGCATCAACTTCTTCGGAGCCTCCCCTGGGATCCGACGCTGCGAACAAGATTGTGACACTGCGAAGTCCCCCCTGGAATCCCTGACCCCACCCTTCGGCGTGTTGTTTCGAGCCTGATCGCAAGGTGAGGACCTCAGGGCCAAAATTTCTGCTCCTCGCCTCTCGTCCTCCTCCTCCTCCTCCTGGCCGTCGCCCTCGTCTTCGTACTGCCCGCGCTTGCACGGGAAGGCACGCGCCCTCCTCCTGGTGCATCCATCTCCGCTTCCTGGTCGCCCCTCCTCTATCCTTCTCCCTTTTCTTTCCCCCCTCTCCGCCCCTCCTGCCCTCCCCCTCCCCCTCCCCGATATGTGGTGGAAAAAACAAGTTCGCCCAGATCTGAGGGACGGCGCTGCACAGCTCGCCCTCGTGAACGACACCTCGCCAGTCCGCGTCCTTCTAGCCTCGCAGGCGCTGCACAACTCCGACCCGCCCCCCGAGGATTGACGACGACGGACGACGACGGCGACAACGACGACAACGACGGCGACGGACGACGATGACGACGGACGACGACCACGACGACGGACGACGAAGACAACGACGACGACGAACGAGGACGACGACGAAGACGACGACGCCGACGTCGACGACGCCCACGTCGACGACGACGGTCGCCGACCACGACGACGACGACGACGACGACGACGACGACGGCGACGGCGGCGGCGACGACGACGACGACGTCGACGACGCGACGACCACCGCAGGGGGCGGCCTCGCCGCCGCCCTCGCCGGCGCCGGGGCGCAGGGCTGCGGCGCTGGCGCGGCGGACGAAGGGCCGCAGGCGGCGGTGCTCGCTCTCGGAGGGCGCCTGCCGCCCCGCCGTCGCCGTCGCCGTCGCCGTCGCCGTCGCCGTCGCCGTCGCCGTCGCCGTCGCCGTCGCCGTCGTCGTCGTCGTCGTCGTCGTCGTCGTCGTCGTCGTCGTCGTCGTCGTCGTCGTCAGCGTCGTCGTCGTCGTCGTCGTCGTCGTAACCCGTCGTTCGCCGTCCGTCTTCCGTCGTCCGTCGTCGTCGTCGTCGTCGTCGTCGTCGTCGTCGTCGTCGTCGTCGTCGTCGTTCTCGTCGTTCTCGTCGTCGTCGTCGTCGTCGTCGTCGTCGATGTCGATTGTCTATCATCGGGGGACGCTGGCCGGAGCTGTGGAGCACCAGCGAGAGTCGGAGGACGCCCGTCGGCGAGCTGACGCTAACGCAGGCGAGCTGTGCACCAGCAAGGGGAGGCGAAGGAAGAAATGGCGAGAGAGAGATAGAGAAAGCATACCGGAACAAGGCGCTGACTCGAGGCGGTCCTCCGCTCCACGCAGCGGCGCAGCATTGCCGCGGCGATGTGCAGTCTTCGAGGATGGGCTCATCATTTTCGTCGCCGGTGTGGGTGAAAAATGCGTCCTTCGTCCTCCGTGGTCTGGGGCCACCCCCGGCCACACGCTCCTCCCTGGCAGAGTGGGGGCCTCCTGGACCGGGTGCGGTCGGAGGATCGCGCCGCATCGCCGATACCTCGGCGATGCATCGGAGATGCATCGGCGACGCGCTGGCGACGTCGGCCACGCATTGGCGGCGTCGGCGTGGCGAAACCCCGGGCTCCACATCGAGCCGCGTCGCCGACGCAGCGGCCATGCGGCGGGAGCCTCCGACCCCGTCTTCGCAGACCCCGTCTGGGAGGCCCGGGCAGAGGATCGAGGCTGCCACGCCCACCCGAAATTACTGTACGCCGCGGCGCGGCCGAGGCAGCCCGCACGCGTGCTCGAGCGGTCCGGGCCGCGGAAAGCGCGACATCGCCGGCGGCAGGAGCAGGAACAACAGGGGCGGAGCGGCCGCGGGGCGGGAGGAGGGAGAGGAGGAGGAGGAGGAGGAGGAGGAGGAGGAGGAGGGAGGAGGAGGAGGAGGAGGAGGAGGAGGAGGAGGAGGAGGAGGAGGAGGAGGAGGAGGAGGAGGAGGAGGAGGAGGAGGAGGAGGGCGAGGAGGAGGAGGAGGAGGAGGAGGAGGAGGAGGAGGAGGAGGAGGGCGAGGAGGGCGAGGAGGGAGGGAGATCGCTGACACGGCGGGCGCCGCCGCGGAGCGGCCGGCCAGAGCTGCTGCATCCCCGGCAGCGGGCGCGGGGCGGCGCCGCGGCCACGGCCGGGGGCCGGCCCCCTCCCCAGGCATGCGGCGTCCTGGCGCTGTCGAGGCGCGGCCCCCGGGAGCCCCGAGCCCTGCCCCAGGTCCGGCTCGCCATCGCGAGCCGTGTTCTGACGGCCCCGCGGCCGAGCGGGGGTGCCCCGGGTGCCAGAGGAACGGCCCACCTCCCGTCGTGCGCTCTGTGTCGGCGGCGCCGTCCTTCGTCGGCTCGCGCGTGCTCCCCCGGGCAGGAGGGCGCGTGCACCCGCAGTTTCGCAGCTCGCAGGTGACGAGCCTGGGCGCGCACGCGCCTCGGATCTCGAAAGCGATGTCTCGCTTCATATCGTTGTCTCTTTTTTTTTTTTCTCTCTCTCTCTCTCTCTCTCGCTCTCTCTCCCCCATCTTCTCCCTCAGCGTGTGTGTGTATATATGTATGGATAAACAGTTACTGCTGGCTTCGTCTTGATCTCTGCTACTGCACTGACAGAACAAGTATGCGGAGGCGGGGAGAAACAACGGGGGGGAGGGAGAGAGACCAGCATGAAGGAGAAAGGGGGGAGAGAGAGAGCGAGAGAGAGAGAGAGAGAGAGACGAGGAAAACAAGTTCACACTGCCTAAAATGCCTGGTGACTGTTTGCTCACGACAAATTAACCAGGGGAGCCACGGACGACATACCTCTGGCAAGCTGGCAACATCCGATGCAATTGCCGACGGTGGCGCCCCACTGTTCAAATACCCAACACCAACACACATCTTCCGACCTTCATTTCTGCTGGTTCCGTCCGTCAACCTTCCACCACCTTCCGCCGGCACAATGGCACTTGTGTTGCTTACTTCCGCCCGCTGTCGCGGGTTTTCTGCCGGCTTCCGCCGAGGTCAATCCTTCGGTTGCTTGGGAGGGAGCCACCTTCATGGACGCCTTGCGAACGTGGGAACTTACGTACTATGACCTCTCTCTTCCTCCTGCGAGTGCACGCGAGCTGCTGGCAGTGGCTCAAGCTCCTCCTGACCATCTTCTTTTCTTTGCTGCTCCTCCTCCTCCTCCTCTTCCGTCTGCCGTCCTCCTCGTTCTAAGTTTCCTCTTCTTCTCACCAGCTGTTCTCCTTCCTCCGCCTCCTCCTCCTCCTCCTCCTCCTCCTCCTCCATTCCTAGTCCTTATGAATTACTCTTCCTTGCCGCATAGCCATACGTACACGTAGGCCTGGCTGTGTGTTCCGCTTGAGGCTTCCATGCAGCTTGGTGGCTTGAAAAGAAAGATCCAGCGGTCACAAGAAAGATGGAGGGTTGACGGTTTTCAGGATGCAGCATTCGCCTTGGCGCCGCTCGCATTCGTTCTGGAAATTTCCGTCAGTCACAGGGATGGAGGCGGCTCGTGTTCAAAACAGCGGCCCTCGTCAGACACCTCCTTGACCTCTATGACCTGAGGTTGCACACGGCTGGAGGGCACCTGCTTTACAACACGAGGCGCTCGCCTTCGACCTCCGCAAATATGCATGACCGGAGCTCGGACATGCTGTAACGCCCACACGGACACACTGCAGATCCTTTGTGAAAGTGGGGCCGTCGCAGGAGACGTCCCTTGCCATTTCTCCTCCTGCCTCCTCTGGTTTCTCTACGCTAGAGGGATGGACGGAGGGTGGATCCTTTGGAGTTCTTTGGCTTGGATCCCGTTCTCTACGCTTGGGTTTCTCCTTTGGACTACAGTCGGGGCGTTGACCTAAGGAACCCGAAATAAGGAGCGAGGCCCCTGTTTTCCATAAGTTAAACTTCGACTTCCGATCGAAAGCATAAGGACAACCTGAGGCAAGCTGTGAAACACGTATGGAACGCGGAGCCCCTCCCCAACCAAAAGGGCTCCTTCCTCAGGGCCCCGACTGTGCCTCCTTTGGTTTCTCGACGCTGTGGTTTGGGTCCTTTGCAGCAATGGGCCCGGACCGAGCGGCAGGCCGACCGAGCAGGCTCGCTGTTCGGGGGGGGCGTGCCCAGCAGCGGAGGGGGCAGCCTCGTCGGGACTCGTGGGGAAAAGGGGCAGGGGGGGGGATGCTGCAGCACCGTGGACACATCCCGGGGCTCCTGTAGTCCTGCTCCCTCCTCCCCTTTCTCCTCCCCCTTCCCCTTCTCCCTCCTCCTCCTCCTCCTCCTCCTCCTCCTCCTCCTCGCTCCTCGCTCCTTCTCTGCCTGGCGCACAGGCATCCTCGAATGTCCGCCACGCGCTCCTAAAAAGGGCGTCCTTCTCCTCTTCCTCTTCCTCTTCCTCCTCCTCCTCCTCCTCCTCCTCGCTCCTCCTCCTCCTCCTCCTTCTCCTCCTCCTCCTCGCTCCTCCTCACCCCCGCTCCTAATCCCCTGCCTCCATCCTCCCCGTCCTCCCTCCCTCTCCCCCCTCCCCCTCCGAGGCAGGCGTGTGGGGCAGCAGCTGGTGCCCCGCTTGCAGGGCTGCCTTGACCTCGGAGGCAGGGCGACACGGGGGAGGTGACCTCGCCGCCGCCGCGGCCGCCGCCGCGGCCGTCGTCGTCGCTGTCGTCGTCGCCGTCGTCGTCTGGGGTGGACGAGGAGGGTGGCAGGAAGGCGAGGAGGGAGAAGGAGAGAGGAGCAATCGGAGTTGCTGTTGAGAAGGGGGGGGGGAGGAGGAGCAGCAGGAGGAAGCGGCGGCGAGAGAGAGAGGGAGGGAGGGAGGGAGGGAGGGAGGGAGGGAGGGAGGGAGGGAGGAGGGAGGAGGAGGAGGAGGAGGAGGAGGAGGAGGAGGAGGAGGAGGAAGAGGAGGAGGAGGAGGAGGTGCAGGAGGAGGAGGAGGAGGAGGAGGAGGAGAAGGAGGAGGAGGAGGAGGAGGAGAAGGTACACGCACGAGGGTCCCATACGCATCGCGGTCCCGACGAAATCGCTCAGGACGAACATCTGGTCCCGACGGGAGGCCCCGGGGGCGTGGACCCATTTGTCTTATGTCGGGCGTGTCCCCCTACAGGGGGATTTTCGACGAAAAATAAGAATACTATATTTCTTGATTATTTTTGGTGTATATTTTAATTTTTCGTCGAGGATCCCCCTGTAGGGGGACAGGCCCGACTTAACGTTTGTCTCGGGACTCCGCCCTTCATGGCGACAGACGGTCGGTGATCCTGAGAACGCGTGTTCGCGCGCGTGCATGTCCACGGGGGCCTCAGTGGAGCTGAACGGGGTAAGCGCACATTGGCCTCATCAGCGCACGTCCTGAGGCTCCTCGAGTGGGTCTCTATACATGTGGGGGAACGTCTTCTGCGCCTCACTGCTGAGAAATCCTAATCTCGCCCGCTCTGGAACCGCGCCGCCGCCTCGAAAATAGACCCCCTCCTCTTTTGAACCGGCTCTCCCTCCCTCCCCCGCGAGAAACCTCCCTCGCCCCCTCCCCCTCGCCGCGCCGTTGTCGTTATCCGGCGCCCGTGCGTCGGTCGGGCGGGCGGGCGGGACAAGCCGTCGACGTCGTCGAGGTCGAGTCGGTCGGGCGTGCGGGCGGGACACGTCGCCGCCGTCGCCGTCGCCGTCGCCGTCGCCGTCGCCGTCGCCGTCGCCGTCGCCGTCGCCGTCGCCGTCGCCGTCGCCGTCGCCGTCGTCGCCGTCGCCGTCGCCGTCGTCGTCGTCGTCGTCGTCGTCGTCGTCGTCGTCGTCGTCGTCGTCGTCGTCGTCGTCGTCGTCGTCGTCCTCGTCGTCCTCGTCGTCGTCCTCGTCGTCCTCGTCGTCGTCGTCCTTTGCTGGCGAGTCGACCTGTCGGGCGGGCGTGCGGGCGGGCGTTGTCGTCGTCGTCCAATGCTGGCGAGTCGGTCTGTCGGGCGGGCAGGCGTGCCACGCGGCCGTCGTCGCTGTTGTCGTCGGCCTCAGTGACACAACCGCTGAGGTAACGGACGCTGTGGTTGCCCAGATGGTGTCCGGCATGGCATACGTTGCAACAGGTGGCTCATCATATCTGCCCTCAGGGTCACTCGGCTGGCTGTTTGAATTGGGGCAAAGGTCGGCGACTCGAGAATATCACGCCGGGGGCGTCTCAAGTGTCGGGGATGAACAGAAGGCCCTGTAATGACACGCCCCTTCGTGAAACCGACCCGAGACCGGACCCGGCGGGCGCAAGAAGCCCGCAGGAATTGCGCCCGCAGCACCTCTCGAAAACCACGGCGGGCCACTCGCTCGTCGCCCTGACAACGCAGGGGTTCGATCAACCTCCGGAAAAACGTTCGACTTCTGGGGGCCCTCTCCAGGCACAGGTGCCGTGCGACCCGTGATGCGAAGCCAGCTCCGCTGGGGCTCAGCGGAGGTCTCGGAGCCCACGACGCGGCAGCACCGCGTCGTCGGAAGTCTGGCTGCTCAGCGGACTTTGTTCCAGCAGGCAGGAGGAGGAGGAGGAGGAGGAGGAGGAGGAGGAGGAGGAGGAGGAGGAGGAGGAGGAGGAGGAGGAGGGAGGAGGAGGGAGGAGGGAGGAAGGGGAGGAGGAGGAGGAGGAGGAGGAGGAGGAAGAGGAGGAGGAGGAGGAGGAGGAGGGAGGAGGAGGAGGAGGGAGGAGGAGGAGGAGGAGAGGAGGAGGAGGAGAGGAGGAGGAGGGGAGGAGGGAGGAGGAGGAGGAGGAGGAGGAGGAGGAGGAGGAGGAGGAGGAGGAGGGAGGAGGAGGAGGTCCACAAGTGCGCCTTGTATGCACCCTGAGAACCGCGGTCCACCGAGGCATTGCCCGAGGCGTCTGCGACTCCCTGCGGCACTCTGGTGCGGGTGCAGTCCCAGGGACAGGGCCCCGTCAGAGGCCATGACTCCAAATAGCCTCCCAGACGGGGTCCGTATAGGTGGAGTCGGAGGACCGCGCCGCATCGCCGACACATCGCCGATACATTGCCGATGCATCGGCGATGCATCGGCGACGCTGGCGATGCATCGGCGACGCCTGCGTGGAGAAAATCGGGCTTCACTTTGCGCCGCATCGACGACACATTGCCGATGCTTCGGCGATGCATTGGCGACGCCGGCGTGGAGCAAATCGGGCTTCACATCGAGCCGCATTGGCGATACGGCGCGATCTTATGACCCCGTCTACCTCGACCCCATGTGGGTTGCCTAGACCGAATTCGCTCGGACCTCTCCTGGCACGGCTGGAACGGCGCGGCCAACCAGGGAATCGCTGTGGAGGTACTTCGGAACTGGAGTTCGACCGCCAGCCCTGCGGCACCCCTCGCCTTCAACGCACCCCGCCGCCCGTGCCTCGAGCCCCCACCAAGCGCGTGCGCTTGCTGGCGTTGAAGCCGGCTTTGCAGAACCTCTTCTTGTAGTCCAGCGCAGCGCGGTTGATCATGAACGTGAGGTGGCAGATCATGAACGCCGAGCGCTTGCCGTGCGAGTTTCGGGCAGCGGCCTGCGCGTTGAAGAGCTCGTCGGGTGGCGGCGCGAGGAGCGGGTCGTCGCAGCCGAGGATGGTGGACGGCACGTGGCTCTTGTGGAAATCCCACAGCTCGGAGCCGTGGGGGCAGCCCTCGGCGCCGTGGCCGACCCGGTGGCCCCCGGTGCACGCCCTGTAGCGGCCCGCGGCGTGGATGAAGCCCGGCCGCTTCCGCCCGGCCAGCGCCCTCTCGGGGTCGTGGCACGACATGCTCGCGAGCGAGTCGACCCACCTCCACGCCTCGCCGAGGCCCTCGACGTTCGAGACCATGTAGTTCTCCAGCGCGACGTGCCTCACACCGTGGTGGGCGGCGGCGTACACGTACGCGTACATGTCGGCCTGGACGTCGCCCCGGTCCTGCTCGTACACGGGCTTCATCAACTCCAACCACGTCGGCATGACCTTCTTGAAGTCCGTGTTGTGCAGGATGTACGGCGGCCCCGCTGGGTAGTACTGCTTCGCCTCCTCGCCTTAGCCGCCCCGATACGCAACACGCAACACGTAGCGTATTGATACGGAGCTCAACACGTATCCTGAATACGTGGGTCCGACGCGATACATTCGCCAACACGTGTTCCAATACGTGGAGGCGACACGCAACGTATTGGCACGGACGTCTTGAGTACGGTACGTGTTGCGTATCAAAACGTACGTATCGAGGCAGCTAAGCTCCTCGCTCGTCATGTTGGCGCACGGGCTGGCGGCTCCGCTGGGGCAGATCGTGCGCTGATCGAACTTGCGCAGGATCTCTGGGCCGAAGCCGTACTTCTGCGCAACACCCCAGCCAGGCTGCGCCACGTCTGTCACCTGATGCTTCAGCTGCTCTGGGTACCCGTTGATGATCTCGAACGGGCTATCGTCAGCATGCTCAGCGCGCTGCGTTAACGGCTGGAGGAAAAACTCGTCGGGGTCCAAGATCACCACGGCGCGTTCGGCGATGGCGTCGGACTGGCTGTCCAGCCAATGCTTGAACGACCAAGGCTTGTTGAACCAAGCGAATTCTTCGGCCTCGGCGATCGCTGGCGCGACGTGCACCTTCAAGCCCGGAAAGGTGGACTTCTTTAGGTCGCCCTCGGCGATCAATTCGTCTGCAGCGCCTCCCGGGTGTGCCCGGATCCTCTCTACCACCTTCTTTTCGCACCCCACCACTATGCGAGTAACATTCCCGCACTGGCCCTGGTGCCAGGCCGAGTTGAGCAGTACCTCCGCCTGCCAGTGCTGGTAAGCGTTGCACCCCGTCGAGAACACGATGTGCATGTCCTCGTCCGCGGGCAAGCAATCCTTCGCCCTCGGCAAGTCATTCGCGGCGTCGAGCGAGGGGGTTCTGGCGACCAGGGCTCCCGCTGCCGGCAGCGTCGCGAGCAGACCTGCATGTCTCACCATTGCCTACGCGCCTGGCCTGCTAAAGTAGTGTACGGACATCGGCCATGCTGGCTTGAGCCAAAATGGCTACGGTGAGCCCGCCTTGTCTGCTTATGAACGCAAGGATGCCAACGCGTGGGTTACAAGCAGCCAACTCGCGCAAAACCGAGACGCGCCGTACGGGGTGTAACTATCTACCACGCGCGCAACATGCGCACGTGACCACCTTCCTTCCCGCCCTCTTACCGATACCTTGTTGGCAAGCTTGTCTGTGTGTGCGTATGATTTTGCCATCACAAGAGTTACAGAAGCATTCTACTTGGGAGGCTTGATCACACACGATGGGCGAGTGGGAAATGAACTGAACCGACGACTGGGCGAAGTGAAAGGTGTATTCCAACAGCTGTGCAAGATTTGGAAGCATGCTGCAATCAGCAGGACAAGGAAGTTGCACATTTACACCAGCTGCGTGTTGAACAAGGTCCTCTACTCCTTGGACTCTCTGTGGCTGCTAAAGGTTGATAGAGCAAGGCTGGACGCTTTTCATTGCAGGTGCTTGCGGAAGATCTTAGGCATACCTCATTCTTAAAATTCGAGAATTTCGAATGCATCCGTTCTGACGCGTGCCGGATCCAAGCCGTCTGCAGTATTATGTGATCGCCAATGCAAGTTGTACAGGAAACTTATTGTACAAGCAGACGATTCCTTGGTGCAGCGGGTGGTGTGCAACGCAGACGGCACGCCCAAAGATTAGGCATTCCGCCGGCGCAGAGGGAGACCCAGGCAGCAATGGGCGCAATCCGTCTACAACCTCGGTCACCTTAGCATCTGAAGCATTTTGCCTCCTCCACCTCCTCCCCCCTAGAAGCGCCCGCTGCGGCCGCGGCAACTTTGTAGTTGCTATTTCTGCCCATGCGTCCTTCATGGATGCACGGCTTCTTGCTTGCTTGCGTGTTGAAGAAACTACTGGCTCCTGATAGCTTTTCAAACGCATGTATTGGTTTTCGTGCGAGAGCCGCTCTTTTCGATTGCTTCTTACATGCGCGCGCGGCGGCGCGCGCATGTGCGCGCCCCGCATCGCGTTCGTCGCAAAAAGGGCTCCCGAGCACCGACGTCTTTGATCGAAGCATGCGCCCCGCACCATCTGCCACCGTGCCCCACCGTGCCCTTGAGGTACGAGTTGGAGCGTCGAGGAGGAGGAGGAGGAGGCTCAGGCCCTTGGCCTTGGCCGTGAAGAGTCAGCCCGCAATCCTGAGAAGTCTTGCCTGCACCCCAGAGTCTGACATATGCCGGGCTTCTCGCGCGGCTCCCCGGGCGCGTCGCGTCGTGCCGCGTGACTTTTTCGGGCCGACGAGGGCCCCGAGACATGCCAAGCGTGCCCAAAGAGGCCGCCAAGACGGTCCAAAAGGGCGCCGACTCGCTGCACGATTGGCACCTCGACGGCTTCGTTGGCCGTGAAGACGTCCCAAGAAGGCCTCGAGGTGCCTCCATAGGGCCCCAAGAGCACTCCCAAGAGGACCTCGAGAGACCAGCATCACAGATCTTCCTGACGTTTTAACATGTTCTTAGGGTTCTCGACAGTTAGAGCTTCCGACGCTCCCAGACGGCCCCAGAGGCCCCCGAGACCGCCCCAAAACGGCCCAAGAGGCCCCCGGGGGGCTCCAAGACAACCCTTGAGGGCTCCAAGACGGCTCCAGAGGTGCCCAAGACGGCCTAAAGACAGCGCCAAGAAGGGCCCAAGAGGTGGAACAGGAAATCCGAGCCTTCCGCCACAAGAGGCCGCCAGGAGGCCGCCAAGAGGCCCCAAGAGACCTCCAAGAGGCCCCCAAGAGGCCCTGCGATGCCTCAAAACTGCCGCAGCAGGCCTCAATACGGCCCCGAAGAGGCCCCGAGAGGCCTCCTGCGACATCCCAAAGACAAGTCTGGAGACCCATGACCTACAACTCAGGCGCGTCGGCGGGATGGGCCGAGGGCCCTTCAATCCGCCGCCCCTGTTGGCTTGCCACAGGGGTGCTTGGCGTGCTGGATCCTCTCGGTTTTGGCTCTGGTTCTTTTTCCGAAAGAACTCTCCCCTGGGACTCCAGCCCAGCCCGCCGGCCACCCGGAAGGGACCGGAAGGCGCGGAATTTGCAGAACAAAATCCCCCAAGACGGCCAAGATGGCCCAACATGGCCTCCAAGATGCCTCCAATACGGCCAAGATGCCCTCCAAGACGGCCAAAATGGCCCAAGATGCTTCCAAGACGGCCGAAGATGCACCCAAGACGGTCTTAAAGATGGCCCAAGACGGCCCTAGAGGCTCTCAAGAGGCCTCCAAGACGGCCCAAGAGGCCTCCAAGAGGGCCTCCAGGAAGGCCCGAAGAGGCCCAAATCATTGATTTCCATGGGTTTTGGGAGGATTTAGGCATTTGCTACTTTTCGGCCTTCCGACGGCCCGAGACGGCCCAAGAGCCCCCAAAGATCGCCCAAAAGATCGCCCAAGAGGTCGCCAAGATGGCCCCAGAGCGGCCCAAGAGGCCCCCAAGACCCGGCCCAAGAGACCTCCAAGACGCCCAAGATGGCCTCCAAGACGGCCCTGGAGCACGCCAAGAGGGCCCCAAGACGGGCCAGAGAGGCCCCCAAGACAGCTTCTAACGGTCCAGGAGCCCACCAAGACGGCCCAAGATGGCTGTAAGATGGCCCAAGACGGCCCCCAAGAGGCATCCAAAACGGGCCGAGAAGCCTCCAAGAGGGCCTCCAGGAAGGCCCAGAGATGCCCAAATCATTGATTATCCTAAGGCTTTTGGCAGATTTTGGCATTTGCTTCTTTTCGGCCTTCCGACGGCCCGAGACGGCCCAAGGGCCCCGAAAGATCGCTCAAGGGGCCTCCTGGACGGCCCCAGAACGGCCCAAGAGGCCTTCAAGTCAGCCCAGAGAGGCCCCAAGGACGGCTCCCGACGGAATCGGACGTGCCAGGAATGCTGTGAGACGGCCAAAGCGGCCCCCGAGAAGCACCCAAGTGCCCCCAACAGGCCCAAAGAGGCCCCCAAGATGCCGCCAAGAAGCGCCCAGGAAGCTCACAGGAGGCCCCAAGAGTGCTCCCAGAGGCTCCCGAGATGCCCCCTCCTTCTCCTCCTCCTCCTCCTTCTCCTCCTCCTCTTCCTCCTCTCCTCCTCTCCTCCTCCTTCTGCTCCTCCTTCTCCTCCTCCTCCTCCTCCTCCTCTTCCTCCTTCTCCTCCTCCTTCTCCTCACCCTCCTCCTCCTGATCTTCCCCGCCATCCTCCCCCAAGTGTTCCCCGAAGGGTTTCCACAACGGTAAGGGAAACACATGGTCCGATAGCTTGGCAGAGCTCTTGCCACAACGCTCGGACACATGGGCGATTTCAAACCTCGTGCTCCCTCACGCCGAAGGCTTTTTGAACCAACTCGTGGAATAACTGGCCCGATAGCCTGGCCAAGCTCTAGCCCAGCAGTCGGCCACATAGGCGCTTCCACAAGGGCAGGGGGCGGCGGTGATTCGCCGTAGGCGACTTTGATCCGCCGCCCCCGGTGATTTCGCCACAAGGGTACCTCGCGTGCTAGGCCCTGTACGGCTTGATTGTGGTTCTTTTCCAAAAGAACCCCCCCTGGGGCTGCGGCCGATCCCGCCGGCTATCCGGAAGGCTGCCGAAACTGCCCGGGTGGTTGCCCAAATCGACTCCAAGACGGCCAAGATGGCCCAAAATGGCCTCTCAGACGGCCAAGATGCCCCCCAAGTTCGCCCAAGATGGTTCAGGATGGCCGCCAACACGGCCCGAGAGGGTCCAAGATGCCTCCAAGTCTGCCCAAGAAGCTTCCAAGACGGCCCAAGAGGCCCCAAAGAGGCCTCCAAGACGGCCCACGAGGCCTCCAAGAGGTCCTCCAGGAGGGCCCGAGGAAGCACAACTCATCGATTTGTTTTGAGGCTTTTGAAGAATGTTGGCATTTGCTTCTTTCCGGCCTTCCGACGGCCCAAAACGGCACAAGAGGCCCCCAAGATTGTCTTTAGAGCGCCCAGGAGGCCCCGTGACGGCCCAAGAAGCCCCCAAGACGGCCAAGAGGGGGTTCCAAGAAGGCCCAAGAAGCCTACATGACGGTCAAGATGGCCTTCAAAACGGTCCTGAAGCACCCCAAGAGGGCCCCTAAGACGGTCCAGAGAGACCCCCAAGACGGCTCCCGACGGCGTCAGAAGGCCGAGGCTCCGAACAAGCCCCCAGAGGCCCCGAATAAGCCCCCGAAGGCCCCCAAGAGGCCGAAGGAGACCCCCAAGAGGCATCCAAAAGGCTCCCAGGAAGCTCCCTCAGACACCAAGAGTGCCCCAAGAGGCTCCCAAGAGGTCTACTCCTACTCCTTCTTTTCCTCCTCCTCACATTCCTCATCCCGATCCTCACTTTTCCTTATTCTCCTTGTTATCCTCTTCCTCACGTGTTCCTAGAAATATTGCAACGACGGTTGGGGGAACACATGGTCCGATAGCTTGGCCAAGGTGTAGCCCAACTTTCGGCCACACAAGGGCTTTCAAAAAGACAGAGGGCGCTGGTGGTTCGCTGTTCGCCGTAGGCGTCTTCGATAATATTCGTTGCCAGAGATGGCGGAGGCTGGTACCCGCATGGCCAGGATGGTTTGGTCACTGGGCGACCGTGCAGACGGTGTGTATATACATATATATATATATATTGATATACATATGTACATGTATGTATGTATGTATATATATAAAAATAAATGTGTATACAAATGCAATAAAACAAGCAATCAGGATACGGATAAGTCGGGGATGGATGCGAGGGTATAGTCTGACTTTGTTTAGAAGACATCGTGTTCTGGGTGCAATTTGGTTTGGCTGTATCCGCGCGTGGCCACCTCCAATGCTCGTGCAAACATCATGCCTGTTCATCCGCAACTTGCTGGCAAACCTCAACTGGGCGGCGAGAGGGATGCTGCCGATTAAGATGATGATGCTGATGATGATGAGGATGCTGATGCTGATGAAGCTGATGATGATGCTGATGATGATGTCCATGG